GCTGAGGCGGAAGGATCGCCGGAGCCCAGCAGGTCGAGGCTGTGGTGGCTGGGAGCGGCCACTGCACTCCAGTCCGGGTGACAGAGTGAAACTCCAACTCAAAAAAAAGAAAAAAAAAATCTTGAAACAAAATGTCCGTCAACAGGTGAATGGATAAACAAATTGTAAAATATTCCTAAAATAGAATACTACTGAACAATAAAAAGGACAAACGGCCGAGCGCACTGGCTCAGCCCGTAATGCCAGCACTTTGGGAAGCTGAGGTGAGAGGACTGTCTGAGCCTGGGGGTTCGAGACTAGCCTGGGCAACTTGGTGAGACCTCGTCTCTACAATACATCACAAAAACTAGCCAGACATGGTGGTGTGCGTCTGTAGTTCCAGCCACTCGGAAGGCTGAGGTGGAAGAATCACTTAAGATCAGCAGGAAGCCGTGACCATTTCACATCACTCCAACCTGGGCAACAAGAGACTCCAACTCAAAAAAAAGAAATTAAAAAAAGAACAAACTACTGATATCCATAACAAAATACATAAATCTAAAAACATTCTATAGCCAGTGTGGTAGCACGCGCCTGTATTTCCAGTTACTTGGAAGGCTGAGGCAGAAGGATCACAGCAGCCCAGCAGGTCGACACTAGGGTGGCCGTGAGCATGTCACTGCACTCCAGTCTGGGCGACAGAGTGAGACTCCAACTCAAAATAAAATAAAATAAAAAATAAAAACATTCTAAACCAGGTGTGGTGGCTCATGCCTATAATTTTAGCTATTTGAGAGGCTGAGGTGGGAGAAACCCTTGAGCCCAGGAGTTAGAGGCTGCAGTAAGCTTTGATTGCACCACTCAACTCCAGCCTGACTGAGAGTGAAACCCCATCTCTAAAATAATAATAGTGCCAGGTGCGGTGGTTCAAGTCTGTAATCCTAGCACTTTGGGAGGCTAAAGCGAGAGGGCTGTCTAAGCCCAGGGTTTCAAGAGTAGCCTGGACAACTTGGCGAGACCTCGTCTCTACAATAAATAAAAAAATTAGCTAGCCTTGGTAGTGTGCGCCTGTAGTTCTAGCTGCTTGGAAGGCTGAGGCGGAAGGATCACCTGAGCCTAGCAATTCGAGACTGTGGTGACCATGAGCATGCCACCGCATTCCAGCCTGGGCGACATAGTGAGACTTCAATTCAAAAAATTAAAAAAACAAAGTAAAGCCGGGTTCGTGGCTCAGCCTGTAATCCCAGCGCATTGGGAGGCTGAGGTGAGTGGATTGCCTGAGCCCGTGTGTTCGAGACCCACCCAGGCAACTTGGCAAGACCTCGCCTCTATAATAAATAATAATAAAAAAAATGGCCGGATGTGGCAGTGCACGCCTGTAGTTCCAGCTACTTGGAAGGCTGAGGCAGAAGGATTGCTGGAGCCCAGCAGGTCGAGGCTGTGGTAGCAGAGAGCGTGCCACTGCACTCCAGTCTGGGGGATGGAGTGAGACTTCAACTCAAAAAAAAAAAAAAAAAAAGAAAGTGCCTTTTTCATAAATATTATTTTGCTTAATTGTCATCAAATGGTATATTTTTGAAAAAACTTATTTTAAAGGTTGACACAGTCCATATAAACTAGAAACCGATTTTTAAAAATGAAAATACACTTACCCAGGCCACCTTATGAGGAAATGACTCATCTTTGTGTGTAAAGAAAGCAGAGAGGCAATATTATTCTTTTTGTTTGATTTCATTTATTTACTGAATATTTATACTTGGCAAAAGGCGATCTCATGAATGAATGTCATATATGTTGACTGTTCAGTTTACGTAACTTTGTTGTACAATTTGTAATTGGAGCATATTTCATTTCCTGGCTATTGTGTGTCATTGATTTCTATTCTCTGGACAGTTTTTCTGATCTCTATTCTGATTAAACACAGTTCTCAGGATACTATCCTTGCTTTTGATTCACTTGGAGAAAAATTTCTGCTCTTCTGCCCATATACCACTGCCCTTACACTAACACGACAATCATCAACACAGAAGGCTTCTCTGTCCAAAATGTGTGTGTTTTTCCAAGCAAGCAGCAGACACCAGCCGGGCATCCTCCAATTCAATTACAACACTGTTCATCTGAAGATTGTGTCCAATCCCACAGACTGAGGGCTCAGTCCGTAAGTCTGTCCCTTCTCACATACCAGTCACAAGTCCAGGCCTTTGGCACTTCCGACCGACAGCCTTCAGTTTTGGCTTCCCATGAATCCCTTTTTGGGTTCAACTAACTTGCTGGAGCGGCTCACAGAACTCAGGGAAACATGTTTACCAGCTTATAATAAAGGATTTTGTAAAAGATACAGATGAGGAAATGCGTAGGGCAAGGTATGGGGGAAGTGGTGTGGAGCTTCCTCTCTAGAAGCACCACTTTCCAGGAACTTCCCTGTGTTCAGCTACAGGGAAGCTATCCTAACCCAGTCCTCGTGGGTTTTTTTTTTTTGAGTTGGAGTCTCACTCTGTCACCAAGACTGGAGTGCAGTGGCATGCTTCCGGCCACCGCAGCCTCGACCTGCTGGGCTCCGGCAATCCTTCCGCCTCAGCCTTCCAAGGAGCTGGAACTACAGGTGGGCGCTACCACGCCCGGCTAATTTTTCACTTATTGTAGAGATGAGGTCTCACCAAATTGCCCAGGCGGGTCTCGAACCCGCGGGCTCAGGCAATCCACTCACCTCAGCCTCCAGAGTGTCAACCATTCTTCTTTTTTTGTTTGTTTTTTTTTTGAGTAGAAGTCTCACTGCTGCCCAGGCTGGAGAGCAGTGGCACGCTGGTGACCACCATAGCCTCGACTTACTGAACTCAGGCGATACTTCTGCCTCAGCCTTCCAATTAGCTAGAACTACAGGCACGTACTACCATGCCCGGCCAATTTACTTTTATTTTTTTATTTTTACTGTAGAGGTGAAGTCTCACAAAGTTGCCCAGCCTGGTCTCGAACCCCTGGACTCAGGCAGTCCTCTTGCCTCTGCTTCCCACAGTGCTGGGATTACAGGTGTGGGCTACCATACCCAGCTTCAACCATTCTTAAGTACAGTTCAGGAGCCTTATTAAGAACATTCACACTGTTGTGTGATGTCACCACCATCCATTAAACACTCCTCCACACCCCCATTCTGCTTTCTGTTTCTGTGAATTGATGACTCTGGGTACCTCCTGTGGGGGGAAAATCATACAGGGTTTGTTTTGTAGTTGGCTTACTTATTTAACCTAGCATAATGTCCTCAAGGTTTATCCCCATAGTAGCAAGTGTCGGCATTTCTTTGCTTTTGAAGGCAGAATAATATTCCATCGTGGAAAAAATATATATATTCCATCGTATGAATAAGCCATATTTTGTTCATCCGTTCAGAGCAAGGTTTTTCTGGAAAAGCATATTTTTTGAGCTAAAATGTCAAACACACACAAAGATAGAATAGTATAGTGAACCCCAAACCAATTTCTAATTTTCGCCACTTATCAATTTTCAGGCAAAATCTGAAGGCTCTCACACCATTATTTATTTTTATTTATTTATTTTTTTTGAGTTGGAGTCTCTCATCCAGACTGGAGTGCAGTGGCTGCTCCCAGCCACCGCAGCCTCGACCTGCTGGGCTCCGGCGATCCTTCCGCCTCAGCCTTCCAAGTAGCCGGAATTACAGGGCGCGTGCTACCACGCCCGGCTTATTTTTTGCTTTATTGTAGAGATGAGGTCTTGCTGCCCAGGCGGGTCTCGAACCCACGGGCTCAGGCAATCCACTCACCTCAGCCTCCCAAAGGCGCGGGATTACAGGCTGAGCCACCGAGCCCGGCTCATTATTTTATTTTATTTTATTGAGTTGGAGTCTCACTTTGTCGCCCAGGCTAGAGTGCAGTTGCACACTCATGGCCACCCCAGTGTAGACCTGCTGGGCTCCAGTGATCCTTCCACCTCAGCCTTCCAAGTAGCTGGGATTACAGGTGCGCACTGCTATGCCCGGCTAATTTTTTTGGGATTTATTGTAGAGATGAGGTCTCGCCAAGTTGCCCAGGCTGGTCTCGAACTCCTGGGCTCAGGCAATCCTCTCACCTTGGCCTCCCAAAGTGCTGGGATTACAGGCTTGAGCCACTGCGCCAGACCCACACCATTATTTTGTAGTTCTATCTGGCCTTTCAAGTATAGCTCATGTGAGAGTGACATGGACATTCTGACAAGTCATTGTGGGGGTCTTGAAACTTCAGGACCTCTAAGAAAGGTCCTGTGTGAGAAACTTTGGGATTTAGTACCTTAAAATGCTTTCTCTTGGCTTACTTCCTCATTAATACGAATTGTGTTCCTTGTCTGGGTTCCCTGTTCGCCTGGGCTATTGGGGAGCTCTCATGTATCTGAAAATGCTTAGACATGCTTACAGTTAGCATGTTTACAGTTAGTGTACTGATCTCTCTGTCCTACCCACAGGCCTTATTTGTTTTAGTGTTGTTCACGTGATTGGTAGTTCAAGTTTTTGCAATCAGCTGCCTCTGGTTATTTATTTTTTGAACAAGGCAGAGGAACCTAGTGAGATGACACTAGGCAGAGGGCAGAATACCAGTGAGGCTGGTGGGTGGACCAGCCTTTATGGGAAGTCTGCGAAGCTTCCTGAGCTCCTGACTGGAGCCCAGTGGGCTGAGCAGCTGGGGAATTTGATTGGCAAGGGAGCGCAAGGTCAGAGGAGTTTAGACTTTGGTCTACAAGAAGTTATACCGTCTTGAGTGTGTTGTTCTGAAGGGCCATCCTAATGCCCTTGACACGTCAGTAAGTTCAAGTTCTAGGTGATGTGTGTTACCCCACCACTGACCCGTGGCTTTCCCTCCTCCCCCGCCAGCCCCTCCTGCTTGCTTGGCCACAGATCAGCCACACAAGCATAAAGGTTTTGGTGTGTCCAGCTCAGGAGGGCACACGTGCCAGTCTTGTGCTGCCGCTTATGCCTGGACCCCAGTCCGCACCCTGTGTCCCTCAGGGTGGGGAGGTGACCCCGGGAGCAGGACGTTATGAGAGTGTGGCCCCTGGTGGGTGCCAGGAACACATGCTGTGGGACCGCAGAGAAGGAAGTGGCCAGGATGGGTAGGAACCCTTCCCAAAAGGCAGTGCTCAGGTTGAGGCTGGAAACCAGAGGGCTGGGCCTGGGGTGGGGGTCAGGCCCTGGGAGGGGGGTTGCTCTCATGCCAGGCGCGGAGGTGGGAAGCAGCGTGCCTGTTCCAGGAACTGTGACTGCATCGGTGTGGGGACTTGATGTCTCCATCTCACAGAGCCTGTGCGCTGGGCACATGGTGGCAGGGCGGAGGGGACGGTGAGGTCAGGCCCGGCGGGGCAGGAGTGTGTGGGCCCAGTGAGGGCCCCACCCACACACCTGGGTTGCCTGGAGGGGACTGGTGGGCTGGATGGCGCACCCTCATGTGAGGCTGCTTGGGGTGTGCTTGGGGTGTAGCATTGCCAGGGCCCTGGCATTTCGAGAGAAATCGGAATCCTGCTTTTAGTCTGAAAGTCCCTGATTTTTAAGTGGTGGCAACTAATTAACATGGTTTAAAAATATCATACCAGCAAAACAAAAGCCATCTGTGGGTCATATTTAGCCAGGGCTTGCTGTAGCTCATGGGAAGCCCCCGAGGGACTTGAAGCCCCGGAAAGTCATAGTTGATCTGGATTCTAGAAAGAGCAAATCCAGGGCAGAGAGTAGGGAGCAGTAACGAGGGAAGAGGAAGCCGGGCCACGGTGCCACAGGATGGGAGCACAGTGACCCTGGAAGGGGGCAGGAGGTCCCTGGAGAGTTGGCTGCAAAACTGGGCATGCTCATGGGCGGCCCTGGATGTCTGCTTAGGTGGGGGCGGGCCCAGGGCCTGGCAGGCTGGAGATGAGGCCACTGAGGGCCTTGAGGGGCAGAGACAGAAGCATGGCTGGGTGAGGGGCGCAGAGGTGCCACCTCTAAGGCCCTTCCTACCAGGTCATGAAGGAGATGCAGGGCTGAGGCCAGGCCAGGAGCCTCTGTGGGTGGGCACCCAGGACACTGCCCTTTGGCTTCCAGGGTGACCAGCAGGATGAGGAGGAAGAGACCCAGATGAAGAAGTCCGAGTCAGAGGTGGAAGTGAGTGCGGGCCGCCGGGCAGGGAGGCGGGCGAGGGCTGCTTCAGCCGGGCCGCCTGGTCCCAGCTCTGCTTGTGCCCCCAGGAGGCAGCAGCCATCATAGCCCAGCGGCCTGACAACCCGCGGGAGTTCTTCAAGCAGCAGGAGCGAGTCGCCTCGGCATCCACGGGCAGCTGTGATGCGCCCTCGCCCTTCAACCACCGACCAGGTAGTCCCAGGCCTCACCCCTGCCCACCCACTCCTCCATCATGGCCCTGAGCTCTCTGGGACTTTCTTGGAAGGGAGCCTTGCGCCAGGACCCCTTGGAGAAGGTGGGACCCTGCACCCCATGCGCCTCTACCCACCGCTCCCCAGGTGGCAGGACCCTGAGAAGAGTGGGGTGGTGCTGGGCCCATGGGCGGAGCTGGCCTGGGCCGAGGCACAGCCTGGCAGGGAGTTGCCCTGCTGGGCTGGCCCCAGCTGGCCCGTGGGCCGGGGGTGCATGCGGGCGGGCTCCCGCCCTGGCCTGAGATGGAGCTGCCTGGAGCCTGCCAGGGCTCCTGCTTGGCCCCCTTGGCTGCATACGCGCACCCCACCTGAGGCTCTCCCTACCCTGTCGTTGGTCTGAGCGTGCCAGTCCCTGTGCGGTTCCCGGGCGGCTGGCTGTCCCCGCTCTGTGCTGTGTGGCAAGCTCCCCGCTGTGTGTGTCTGCTGCTGGTGTGAGGCTGCGGCCCAGCTTGGCTGAGTGTGGCCTTGGCTGATGGCAGCTTGGACATCCAGGGCCAGCCCTGTGGGTGGGTGAGGCCTCTGGGCGGGGGTGGGGAGACTGACCCTCTCTCGTCCTCTGTCTCTCTCTCTGTCTGTCTCTCTCGGCAGGTCGTCCGTACTGCCCTTTCATAAAGGCATCGGACAGTGGGCCTTCCTCCTCCTCCTCTTCCTCCTCCTCCCCTCCACGGACTCCCTTTCCCTATATCACCTGTCACCGCACCCCAAACCTCTCTTCCTCCCTCCCATGTAGGTAGCAGCCCCAGGCCTCGGCGGGGGGAAGGAGGGCCCCGCTTCCCAGCAGCCCCCCCGCCCTCACTGCCCCAGCCTGACCGCTGGCCTCCTGGCGTTTGTGCCCAGAGCGGGGTCCTGCCTGCCTCTTCCCCCCGGCCCTGTGGGGCGCTGGCCCCGAGGCCTGGCTGCCAGGGTCTGGAGCTGTGGTCTGGCCCCTGGGGGGCCTGGGGAGCTCCCGGCCCCCACCCAGACTCCAGAGAGGAGGTGCTGGCTGGGTCCCAAGGTGGACGGCCTGGTCCCCCGGCTCCTCCGCCCTCCCTGACCAGCCTGGGGCTTGTTCCACAGGCAGCCACCTGGACAGCCACCGGAGGATGGCGCCCACTCCCATCCCCACCCGGAGCCCATCTGACTCCAGCACCGCCTCCACCCCTGTCGCAGAGCAGGTCGAGCGGGCCTTGGGTGAGGTCACGTCCTCGCAGCCTCCGCCACTGCCGCCACCGCCACCACCAGCCCAAGGTGAGAGGGATCCCACCTGCGCCAGGCCGCTCGGCAGTGCCTGGGCTGGGGACCCGGGTCACCCTGGTGACAGCTCCCCAGGGGCACGGGCCATCCATCCCCAAGATGGCCTTGCTCTGGAAGCGTCTGGGTCAGGGAGGAGCCCTGGTGTGTCGTCAGGCCCCCTCCAAGCCTCAGCATCTGCGCTCTGCAGTGGGCACTGGGCCTTGCTCCCGGGGCTGCCGGGGGCTTTAGACACCAGGTCAAGGGAGGGTGGGCACAGCCTGGGCTCAGAGGAGCCCTGCATGGAGGTACCCAGCTCCCTTGGGGCTGGGCCAGGCGCGGTCAGGTGGCCACCTAGGGTCTCCCTGCCCGAGGAGCCGGTTGTATCTGTCCCCTCTGCCCTGCCGCAGAGAGCCAGGAGCCCAACCCCATCCCGGACAGCGAGGAAACCTGGGCCGGCCCTGCAGAAGAGCCCTCTCAGGCCCAGGGCCCTCCCCGGGGGCAAGGCAGCCCTGTGGAGGACTTGATGTGCACAGAGTCTCTGGAGCAGGCTATCCCGGCTGCCCCCGTGGCGCCTGCCACGGCTGACGCCATCGCGACTGTGGCCTCGGTGGCTGACGCCAGTGAAGCTGGCACCATTGAAACCGCCTCTGCCGCTGACAGCACTGTGGCCCGCAGCGCGCCCGCCATCACGGCCAGCCTTGTCGACTTGTGGCCTGGCAGCGGGGAAGGGGCCTCCGCGCTCCAGGCCGAGCCCCGCGCTCCCACGCCACCTTCGGGCACCGAGGTCGCCCTGGCGGAGGTGCCCCTGCTGGACGAGGGGGTGCAGGAGCCGCTGCCGCCAGCGGGCGAAGGCTGTGCCAGCCTTCTCAATTTTGACGAGCTGCCCGAGCCGCCGGCCACCTTCTGTGACCCAGAGGAGGAAGCGGAGGGCGGGCCCCTGGCCGTCCCCCAGACCCCAACTCTGCCCTCGGCTCTGGAGCAGCTGGAGCAGGAGCCGGAGCCCCACCTGCTGACCAACGGAGAAACCGCCCAGAAGGAGGGGACCCAGGTGGGGCAGGCGCAGCTGGCGGGAGGGGGCAGCCAGGGCTGAGCGGGGGTCTGGCCTGCGGGCCTCAGGCTTGCAGCAGGACCCCCCCTTTCTCCGTGACCCACATCGCTGGGGGGACGTCCATTCCATCCCCCCAGCTCCGCCTTCGTTCCCCAGGCAGGCACCTGTTGCCCTGGCAACCGCTGATGGACCCATCGGTTGCTGGGGAAACGGGCTCAGGCCTGATAGGTCGGCTGCGCCTGCTGGGCGGGGCCCGGTGACCTGGTGCTTTCCCCTGCAGGCCAGTGAGGGCTACTTCAGTCAGTCACAGGAGGAGGAGTTTGCCCAATCGGAAGAGCCGTGTGCAAAGGCTCCGCCTCCTGTGTTCTACCACAAGCCTCCAGGTAGCGGGGGTGAAGGCTGGGGAGCACGCGGGTG